TTATAATTAGTATGTACGAAGTAGACCTAGTGAAATGTTATAACTGTGAGGTATTTCCAGGATCAGTACAAGATCCTCTATAGTCTGCCCCAATTTCTACGAAATTAATTGGTAGTGCTGCAATAATAAAGTGCTTTTGGTGATCAGACAGAAGCCAGACTTGTAACATTGAACCAGTTTTCCAGAGAGGAAAAGACAGGAGACAGAGAGAGCATTCAACAACTCTATTTTAAAATGGCATGGGCATAGAGTCAGCAGCAGCAATTTTATAAGGACCATGAAATCAACAAAGTTTTCAGTTTTGAGTGAATAATGATTGTTGTGTTTCAGATCCACTCCTTATATCTAGTGCCACCAGTTATCACATTTTTGAGCAAACATCCTTTGGTGGACAATTATGACCTTACAAGCGTAGATACCATCATCAGTGGTGCAGCTCCACTTGGAGAGCAACTTCCCATTGTTACCCTTGTTACCCCTATTTACCCCTTGTTAGTTGTGTTGGTCCTTGTTGCCCTTGTTACCCCTTGTTACCATTGTTACCCATTGTTACCCTTGTTACCCTTGTTACTTCTTGCTACCCCTTGTTACCTCTTGTTCTTCTTGTTACCTTTGTTACCCCTTGGTATCCCTTGTTACCCTTTTTACCCCTTGCTACCCCTTGTTACCCCTTTTTAGCCCTTGTTATTCCTTTTTACCCCTTGTTACCCGTGTTACCGCTTGTTACCCCTTGTAACCCTTGTTACCCATTGTTACCCTTGTTACCCCTATTTACCCCTTGTTAGTTGTGTTGGTCCTTGTTGCCCTTGTTACCCCTTGTTACCCCTTGTTACCCTTGTTACCCTTTTTTACCCTCTTGTTACCCTTGTCATCCCTTGTTATCCCTTGTTATCCCTTTGTTACCCCCTTGTTACCCTTGTTACCCCTTGGAAACCCTTGTTACCCTTTGTACCCCTTGTTAGCCTCTGTTACCTTCTTTTTGTGTTTAAAAAATTGAAATCCAGCCGCGTTATCTACACCATTATTTATCTTTAGGCTCCCCCTCAGTAGATTTAGAGTCCCCCTCAGATAAATATTGCACAGTCCCTTATATATACTGTACAACTATAATGTGTTGTCTTAATATAATGGAGTAAATACAAAAACAAAAAATACAATACAAAATCACAACGATAACAAAATCTCTAATTGATCGGCTATCGCTAGGCCAGATTTACGAGGTTGCCAGATACCTTTAGGGGTTTCTCACGTTTAAGTGACGTAGAGCGTTCCGGTTAAACTTCATTTACCTAAAACCGTACTACGGAATATTCGGACAGCCTCCTGTATGTTAATAAGCGGACACTTAGCCGGTGCCCGAAATTAACGTCTTGTATTTTCCTTTAAAACGAACCTTATTCAGAGGACACCTTCTATTAAGCAGACACTTGGGAAGGCCCCAAAGGTGTCCGCTTAATAGAAGTTTTACTGTATCTCTGCCTCTCGCCTACCCTCAACCGGTTTTTTTGGCGCTGATACACCCCCCCCCCACCACCACCACCCTTGTAAAATACTAAGCGATATAAACCTGTTTCCAGCTGCTTTCTCCTGTTTTAGAGATAACTGATGTATTATGTTACTTTGACAAAAATACCCCTCCCCTCCCCTCCTCTCTAAAGGTCCGATTTTTTTGCGCCCCTTCTGAATGTCCCGACGAACAACTGTGCCGAGTTTGATGCTTGTACTCTAGAGTGCACAAAAAAAAAACTAGGCCACGCTACTATACGGGTCACACAAGACCGTGAAATAAATAGCGTGAGTTATCATTATGACTTATTTAGAGGTGAGTTACCAAATCTTCAAATTTTAAGATTTGACATGCAGAATCTTGAAATTTGACATGCAGAATATTCAAATTTCGACATTTGACATGCAGAATCTTAAAATTTTAAGATTTGTCATTTAGAATCTTAAAATTTGAAGATTTGACATGCAGAACCTTGAAATTTCAAGATTTGACATTCAGAATCTTGAAATTTGAAGATTTGACCTACAGAATCTTGAAATTTCAACATTTAACATGCAGAATCTTGAAATTTCAACATTTGACACGCGGAATCTTGTAATTTGATATGCAGAATCTTAAAAATTCAAGATTTCACATTTATAATCTCGAAATTTCACGATTTGACATGCAGAATCTAAAAAAAAATCAAGATTTGACATGCAGAATCTTGAAATTTCACATGCAGAATCTTGAAATTTGACATACAGAATCTTGAAAATTCAAGATTTGACGTGCAGAATCTTGAAAATTCAAGATTTAACATGCAGAATCTTGAAATTTCAAGATTAAACATTCAAAATCTTGAAGTTTCCAGATTGGACGAGGAGAATCTTGAAAATTTCACGATTTGACACGCAGAATCTTGAAATTTCACATGCAGAATCTTCAAATCTCAAGATTTGACATGCTTAATCTTGAAATTTCTAGATCTGGCATGCAGAATCTTCAAATTTCAAGAGTTGACATGCAGAATTTTGAAAGTTCAACATTTGACACGCTGAATCTTCAAAATTCAAGATTATACATGCAGAATCTTGAAATTTCAAGATTTGACATGCAGAATCTTGAAATTTCACGATTTAACACGCAGAATCTTGAAATTTCAAGATTTGACATGCAGAATCTAAAAAAAATCAAGATTTGACATGCAGAATCTTAAAATTTCACACCCAGAATCTTGAAATTTGACATACAGAATCTTGAAAATTCAAGATTTGACATTCAGAATCTTGAAAATTCAAGATTTGACATGCAGAATCTTGAAATTTCAAGATTTAACATTCAAAATCTTGAAGTTTCCAGATTGGACGTGCAGAATCTTGAAAATTCAAGATTTGACATGCAGAATCTTGAAATTTCAAGTTTTAACATTAAAAATCTTGAAGTTTCCATATTGGACGAGCAGAATCTTGAAAATTCAAGATTTGACACGCAGAACCTTGAAATTTCACATGCAGAATCTTCAAATCTCAAGATTTGACATGCTTAATCTTGAAATTTCTAGATTTGGCATGCAGAATCTTCAAATTTCAAGATTTGACATGCTTAATCTTGAAATTTCTAGATTTGGCATGCAGAATCTTCAAAGTTCAAGAGTTGACATGCAGAATCTTGAAAGTTCAAGATTTGACACGCTGAATCTTCAAAATTGAAGATTATACATGCAGAATCTTGAAATTTTAAGATTTGTCCTGCAGAATCTTGAAAATTCACGATTTCGTATGCAGAATCCTAAAAGTTCAAGATTTGACATGCAGAATCTTCAAAACTCAAGATTTGGCATACAGAATCTTAAAATTTGACATGCAGAATCTTGAAAATATAAGATTTCGTATGCAGAATCTTCAAAATTTCAAGACTTGACGTGCAGAATCTTCAAAATTCAAGATTTGATACGCAGAATCTTAAAATTTGACATACAGAATCTTAAAAATTCAAGATAATACATGCAGAATCTCGAAATTTTGGGATTTGACATGCAAAATCGTGAAAATTTAAGATTTGATATGCAGAATCTTAAAAGTTCAAGATTTGACATGCAGAATCTTCAAAATTCAAGATTTGCCATGCAGAATCTTGAAATTTTAAGATTTGGCATGCCAAATCTTGAATTTTGAAGATTCAGCATGTCAAATCTTGAAATTTAAGGAATCTGAATACGAAATCTTGAATTCTCAAGATTATGCATGTCAAATCTTGAAAATTCAAGATTCTGCATGTCAAATCTTAAAATTTCAAGATTCTGCATGCCAAATCTTGTAATTTCAAGATTCTGCATGTCAAATCTTGAAATTGTGAGATTTTGCATGTCAAATCTTGAAAATTGAAGATTTTGCATGTCAAATCTTGATATTTGAAGATTATGCGTGTCAAATCTTGAACTTTCAAGATTCCGTATGTCAAGTCTTGAAATTTCAAGATTATGCATGTCAAATCTTGAATTTTGAAGATTCTGCGTGTGAAATTTCAAGATTCTGCGTGTCAAATCTTGAATTTTGAAGATTCTGCACGTCCAATCTTGAAATTTCAAGATTTTGAAATGTTAAATCTTGAAATTTCAAGATTCTGCATGTCAGATCTTGAATTTTCAAGATTCTGCATATCCAATTTGGAATTTTCAAGTTTCTGCATGTCAAATCTTGAATTTTGAAGATTCTGTATGTCAAGTTTCAAGATTCTGCTTGTCAATTCTTGAAATTTCAAAATTCTGCATGTCTTATCTTGAATTTTGAAGATTCTGTATGTCAAATCTTGAATTTTCAAGATTCTGTATGTCAAATTTCAAGATGCTGCTTTTCAAATCTTTAAATTTCAAGATTCTGCACGTCAAATCTTGAAATTTCAAGATTCTGAAAGTCAGATCTTGAAATTTCAAGATTCTAGCTGCATGTCAAATCTTGAATTTTGAAGATCCTGCATGTCAAATCTTGAATTTTCAAGGTTGTGTATGTCAAATTTCAAGATTCTGTGTGTGAAATGTCAAGATTCTGAATGTCAAATCTTGGATTTTCAAGATTCTACATGTCAAATCTTGAAATTTCAAGATTCTGCATGTCAAATATTGAAATTTTAAGATTTTGAATGTTAAATCTTGAAATTTCAAGATTCTGCATGTTAAATCTTGAATTTTCAAGATTCTAAATGTCAAATCTTAAATTTTTAAGATTCTGCATGTCAGATCTTGAAATTTCAAGATTCTGCGTGCCAAATCGTGAAATTTCAAGATTCTGCATGTCAAATGTTGAAATTTCAAGATTCGTATAGGTAATAGCATGATTTGGAGTGATATTTGGCATAAATACCATGAGTGATATTTCGAAATTGTTATAGGTAATTTCACGAGCTGTTAGGCGAGTGAAATTTGTGACAATTTTGAAATATCACGAGTGGTATTTATGCCAAATTTCACGTACAAATCATGCTATTATTTGTTTATACTACTACCCGCTAAAGGTTTGTAATTTTCACATGTAGGTNAGGCATTGTGCAAAGTAAATACAAAGTTGACATACCAGAAGTTTCGCTCAGCGAGTTTATGTTAGATGATTTTCAGGAATATGGAGATGATTTGGCAATGGTAAGCTGAGTTTATGGCCATTAACTAGTTAATCAAGTGTAAAGCACATAATTGTTTGCGAAGTTTGTTGTTATTATGCAGCGAACAACAAACTGGAACGCAGTTCTGTAAAACAGGTATGCAAATGAAGTCTCTGTGTACTTTGAACCCTGTGACAAAATGTCCGTCAACCGGATAGGATTTTGATTTTTATTAGGTTGTGTTTGGTCATGTACGTATAAATGTGCCCATTTTAATTATTTCAAGCTTAACTTGGACGACAACACTTTATGTTTGTTTGAATATGTAAAACAAAGTGGTCTCTTGGTGCGCTTACAACCTTTCTGATTTGCATGACCTTTGTTCTTTAGTGAAGTCATGTGAAGTATCTTGTGATTGTATTTGAATTGAGACTTTACACTGTACAATGTGGGAGATTCATATCTTTTTCTTGAAAAGGATATTTATTACATTTAACATTATCTATAACATTTTGAAACAAAATCTGTGATGAACACCTGGCCATTTCATGTAATATCCACATTCCCTCTATATGAATTTTCTGAGGAAGTCTTGGATAGAAATTTCTGAGGGGAAAACTGCTGTGTCAGCACTTTTGTTTTGATATCGACTATCCCATCCACCCCCTCCCCCCACCATAATAAGATTTTAATTTTCTTAGGAGGGCTTCAAAGTTATTTCTCAGGGGTTTGAGAAAAAATTTGCTATTTCTGAAGGGGGGCTGTGTTGGTACATGTACTTTTGACCCGTTTTTCTCTGAGGTATAGTCAACTTAAAAAAATTCATCCATAGGGGCGGGGTTGTAGCTGTTAATATGAAATGGCCCTTTCTCTTAATTTTCTTGGGCATTAGAAGTTATATCTCATCGACAAGGGGGGTTCTATTAAATACAATGGCTCACCCTTTTTATCGATCTCTTCTCATTTTAATCTGATAGTTGCTTGGGGTTTTGTGGATAATTTCCTGTAAGAGGCTAATAAAATAAATTTTTCCTTGTTGAAGCTCCATGCATTGAGTAAAGCATTAGACTTGTTAAAATATCTCTCAATCCACACAAAGCTGTAATCAGATAGTCAGATTACGATGTTGCTACACCTAATAGAACCACTTTCCTTTTCTTTGTTTATCATTTGGCTCGGTGCATGCTACTAGTGTACACTAGTGTAGCACCGTGCCTACGCATGATTTCATGCTGAAGAGAAGGCACCTTTTTTGTGCCAAAGCATGGAAAAAAACATGCATGGGGACAGATTTATAATAGGCAGACTTTAGGTACAGTTAAGGCACGTTTTGAATACTGGCTGTATTGAGATTTTTAGCCATGTGTACACCAGTAGCATGTGCCAGGCCATTTATTTATTTTAATTCTTCACTAGGTTGATGGTGCTTCTGGAAAATCTTACAGCTACAATGAGCTCAATACCTCAATAAAAAAGTTGGGGTCAGCATTAACAAAAAGAGGTTTCAAGAAAGGTGACGTATTTGCTCTGTACCTACCCAACGTGCCAGAATATCCCATAGTATTCTTTGGAGTCATTGCTCTGGGTGGTATAGTGACAACGTTAAACCCAACTTTCACTGAAAAGGAGATTTCATACCAGCTGAAAGATTCAGGAGCAAAATACATTCTTACGATACCTGCTATTGCTGACAAAGCAAAGATAGCTGCAGCAGAAAATGGAATAAATGAGGTTTTCGTAATTGGTGAGGCAGAAGGCTGTGAGCCTCTTGATTCGCTGTTTTTTGATGATGGCTCAGCTTTTTCAGACAATGTGCCAGTCAACCCAAAAGAAGATGTATGCGTTATGCCATACTCCAGTGGAACAACTGGCTTTCCAAAAGGTGTCATGCTTACGCATCAAAACATAGTGTCACAGGTATGCATGCTTTTACATGATGCCTTCAGGTCTCATCCTTTCCGAGGAACTGTCCTGGGGCTTCTTCCCTTCTTTCACATCTTTGGCATGGTTGTCATCATGGCTCATTTTCTTAAACGTGGAGGAAAAATAGTCTGCATGCAACAATTTGATGGAGAGAACATGCTTGGACTCATTCAAAACTTCAAGGTACTGTAATATTATTGCTCCTTTTCTTCCTTCTTCCAGCTTGTAAATAGTACTAGTTACCAATATTGAACACTGCTTCCGTTTCTGGTTGGAGGTGTGTCCACGGCATGCATATTTATATATTTGAACATACTAACCAACTCATGCACATAATCATTTTCAATGAAAAACTCAGTCAGTGATACAACTAACATGTGTATGTGAATGTGTATCTAACTGGAAGAGGATTTTTTTGGCATTTTTTCACTTAGAAAAATGTGCCCTCTTAATAAATATTTAAACTGGCTCACCTTATAGCTATAGGTGGCTCTTCCTAAAATGTTCTAGGCTGACTAATAAAATGGATCTTGATATACAGTAAAAACCCGCCTATAAGAACCTAACATTTAAGAACCTGTTAGGCTGAAATTTCATTTTTAAGCACCCTTCACATAAGAACCATTTTAGGCTAAAATCCTAAAACAGGTTCTTATTTTCAAAAAAGACAAAAATATATAGAGTTAAGCAAGATTTATTGACAATTATAGTGAAGGTTACAGTACCATCCCTTGTAGAAATTCAGTACATTTAAAGTATACTTTATATAGGTGATAAACACTTTAAAAAGTATACTTCATTTGTACTTAAAGTATACTTTAAGTATACTTACCAGAAGTATACTTTAAGTACACAACTTTTCGACACCTAAAAAGTATACTTAAAGTATACTTAAATGAAAGTATACTTGAAGTATACTTAATGGGAAGTATACTTCAAGTATACTTAAAATATACTTTAAGTATACTCAATGCAATATTTTTATCAACCACTGAGACACATCAGACTTGGATCAATTATATTGTAAAATCATTTATTGATGTAACAAAAAAAACTACCCTTAACTTAAAGCAATACAAATGTACTAAGAAATTATAAAAAAATATACAGCAAATCTTGTTGGAATAGGTTTCCACAACATAAAAATATAAATTTTCTATTCCTATCAAAGGAACTCACTGAATTTGATTACCATAATATATTATTCTTCTTGATTTTAGTAAAATTTTCATTGACAATGAGATCATTTCAAGGAAGGTGCATGTATATTAACAGGTTTCTTTCTGAACTTTCTTTAACTCACTTGTACTTAATAATTATTGCTTAGAACCATCACACAATATTCTTCTTAATTTTAGTAAATGTTTAATAGACAAGAATGATTAGATCTGTCCTCTTTGGCTTCAAAGTAAATTGTGCCATTACCTTATTAAAGAAATATGTCTACCTATTACATACAAAAACTGGAACGAAAAATGTGATCTAACGAAAACAGGACTTGGTTTTATATTTTGAATTTACACTGCACTTTAGGCGAAGAAAACAAGCTTTCACTTTGTAAACCTTAAGGCTTAACTTGTGTGTCATTTGCAAATGACTCGCAAAGAAGAATCGATATACATTGAAACGACTGGAACCCATACATTTTTCACCCCAAAACTTACTTGTATCGTCAAAATTCAGTCATGGTGTACTTCTTTTGTTTTCTTTTCAAGTTCCACTCATATTGTACACGAATTGTGAAGATAAATTAAAAGCAATATTCCAAGCGAAATATCTTGAAGACACTCTCGGCAAAGCTCAACGAACGTTCCTTCGAATCTGTATCGCCCGCCAAAACCATATATGGAAGTAAGGTATGCTGTAAATGATTCATACATGACCGTATTAGGAAATCCACAAGATCCCGTATATGTTCCGACGGTACTGGAAGTCAGCGGTAATTCAACACCTTCATGTATACCTTTCTTTCCTCGAACGTAAAGATGTCCGACAATGAGCGATGGTTTTGCTTCGAGTTCTCGTTGTATTTCTTAAGGTCCTCGTAAGAAAGGAGGTAAAACGACGCGGGCCTTAATTACATCCAGTATTTTTTACTGCCAAATACAAAAATTCCACGAAAGACGTTAAAGAAATGACCAGAATGAAACTGTGCGACTTTGCCATTTCGCCCAGGGATCGGTGGATGATCTTAATTCTTACGAAGGAAGTCGACTGAACAGCTAATGTGTGCTCTGTGTAACTAGAAACCTCTTATATACTTCACCACTCTGAAGAAATCTTTACATGATCTCAACTGTGTCCTTAATAGAAGAAAACTGATTTGATCTGAATAGTATTTTGAAGTTAAATTATACTTAAAGCAGACTTTCACTATACTTTTGTCTTGTAGTGATTTCAAGATCCGGACAAACCTTCTTAGATCCTCAGATCAGAATGTGTCTTTCAGTTTCAAAGTATACTTAAAGTACACTTTTTTTTCCAAAACTATTTTTCACAAGCACTGAAGTTTGAAGAAGTATACTTAAAGTATACTGAAGTATTTGAAGTGTAAATGAAGTACATTTGCCAAATATACTTCATTTATACTTTTTTTCTGGAAGTACAAACGAGGTATACTTCAAATGTACTTTTTTTCTGAGAAGTACATATAAAGTATACTTGAAGTACACTTAAAGTATACTTAATTTCTACAAGGGATAGTTTTGATTGTAATAGAATCAGATTAAAATAGTATAGTATTTTGCTTAAGGAAGCCTCCAAGAATACTGTTTTTGGACATTAAACACCAGATCATTTAAAAATTCAGCTTTATTTCTTGAACAAAAGTTAAGAACCTAATTAAGAACCTAGTTAGCCTAATTTCACACTAAGTACCATTTATATAAGAACCTGTTTAGACTAACTTGGAAAAACCTAGGTTCTTATACGCGGGTTTTTACTGTAATGAACTCCTATTTAACAAAGTTCTTGGTATAAAGAATGATTTTCTTTACTCCAGCAATAGTATACAACTATCCCCCAAGGGGGAGGTGAATAGTGGTGGATATATACTGAGATGCGAAATGTCAAGGTATATATCTAGCACTGTTCACCAATCCTGAGGGGATAGTTGTTTTGGTATTTACCAAATCAGTTGGATAAAAATGAAAAAAGTAACTTTTTTGTAAATTAAAAGCATCACTTAGTGGGAAGTTTGTTTACAATTTACAAACATCTTGGGAATATTGTCAAGTGCATTATTATGATTTTGTTGCAAATTCAGCAAGAAAATAATTTTCTACCTACCAGTAAACACTGACAAGCTGAACTTCATCACTTTCTTGGTATTTGTTTGTACAACTGCTTCATTTATCGCTTAAATTTCATCTTCCCAAAAATTTCTCACAAAAACAGTGAATAGCCAAGGATATTCCAAGTTACGGTAGCCGATCAAAACACGTGAAAATTGCTATTCACTGATTTGGTATATACTAATACAATATGAAAAAGAACCTCAAAATAATGAAACCTCATTACAGCAAACAAATTTTGCTATGAGTCGCTTGGCCCTTCTTTACATCATGGTTCCAATGTATTAAAGATTATAATTAGTATGTACGAAGTAGACCTAGTGAAATGTTATAACTGTGAGGTATTTCCAGGATCAGTACAAGATCCTCTATAGTCTGCCCCAATTTCTACGAAATTAATTGGTAGTGCTGCAATAATAAAGTGCTTTTGGTGATCAGACAGAAGCCAGACTTGTAACATTGAACCAGTTTTCCAGAGAGGAAAAGACAGGAGACAGAGAGAGCATTCAACAACTCTATTTTAAAATGGCATGGGCATAGAGTCAGCAGCAGCAATTTTATAAGGACCATGAAATCAACAAAGTTTTCAGTTTTGAGTGAATAATGATTGTTGTGTTTCAGATCCACTCCTTATATCTAGTGCCACCAGTTATCACATTTTTGAGCAAACATCCTTTGGTGGACAATTATGACCTTACAAGCGTAGATACCATCATCAGTGGTGCAGCTCCACTTGGAGAGCAACTCACTAATGCTTTATGGAAACGTCTTCCCACTGTGGTAGCTATTGGGCAAGGTATACATGACCCAGTATAAAATAATATAACAGCCATCAATAGTAAATTTGTTATGTCCAGGCTATATTGCTTTTGTCAGACAGGAGACAGAGAGAGCTAGGGTATGAGGGTACGGAATGTGAGAGCTAAGTGTCTCATGTCTTGAGCTGATGTCAAATTCACCCTTCCGATGTGCAGGTACTAAAGTGCAGGTCACTGTTCCAGGGGCAGATCTAGGGGGAGGGTGCAGGGGGTGTGCACCCCCCCTCCCCCTGAGATGACCTGAGGTTTTCTAATACAACTGGTATTCTGCAAAAAAAAAACTATGTGGTTTATTGGTGTTGAATTAGAGCAAGAGATGAGTGCACCCCCTCCTAAAAAAAATCCTGGATCCGCCGCTAAGTTCCATGGATAATTTACCAAACCGCACAGATTCATCTCAATCTAATGGAGCATTTTGTTAAGAGATTAGGGCCAGGAGGCACTTTTAATGCTGTTCATTTACCTGTATTGTGGTGACCTGTACTCTGACCTGTGGAAAAGTGACCTGTATTTTAGCCCCACTGCTTCCAAGGGACTCAATGTAAAAATGGCTGCTGGATTGATATTCTTTTGTCTAAATTAAAAGTAGCCTGACTAGCCTCATTCTTTAGCATAAAATTGAAAAGAATACAAATCTCAAGCGAGGCTAGTCTGGGTAATTTTAAGTTAATCCAGCAGCCATTTTTGCATTGGGTCCATGACTAGTATAATTATGTATAAGGCAAATCTACCAATTAATCTGGACTGAGAATTCATTAATCCATGGATCCAGGGCTATCACCAAGAGCTGGGGGCTGGGGATTTTCCCTGGCTACCATGAGCTTGAGCCGCCCTGTCTACTCTTATAGGAAACGAAAGGAAATAGAACCTAAAGAACTTCCTAGCTTTACAATTTCCCTCATACTAATTGCATATACCCGGCAACTTGAAATTTTAGCAACAGCCCTGCATGCATCCCTTAAATTCCAGTCATTAAGATGATTGCCTATAGTAGCATTAAACCTGTCCTAACATGACTATCATGAATAATTATTTACTAATAATATTAGTCTTCATGGTCTCTGTATAAATAGTACGGAGACCGCGTAGTGATGCGAGACCTGTACGATACAGAAGACGTTAAAACAGCGCTGCTTTTAATTAGTGACTTATTAGCGCTGCAACGAGCGCTGCAGAAAGGTTGCACGAACGCTGTTTTCTGTTCGCTGCAGCGGTGCATTTTTGTGACTGCGTTAACGCTGTGGTAGCGACACTGAGAACTGCAGGAGCGCTGCCGTAAAGATGCAAAAAAATAGCCACACGAGGCCATATGGCAATAAACAGCTTTTATGCAGCGCTGTGCAGCGTTAGTGAAGCGCTGCAAAGAACAGTTGTCCAAAAAAGAAATGCAGACTTCAACAATACAATAATCATGAGACATGGTAAAGGAGTTGACCTTATAGTAGCAGAGTAAAAACCACAAGAAAGACAAAATGCAACTGATACTTTATTAGTATCCACGCGTACACGTTACAAAAGCAGGTGACATATAACAAATCTTCAACAGTCTCGCTTTGTAAACATTCAGCAATCACGGTTGCTCATCTAAATGTAAGAACATCCATTAAAATGCCGACATTGAAGTTTATCTTTTTTTAAAATAAAGAGAATAAGAGCGATTGTTCTACATAAAGTTTGCACGGACAGCAGCCAAATGATGTTTTGATTTGTTACAACAGGTTAAGCCTGACATCGCTCACCTTGACGTTTTGTCCATGATCCACGATCTGCCATCACTGTTTTCATGAAAGAAATCAACCCAATTTTACTTTGGTCGTCGTTAAATTTTACAATGGACTAAGGAACGTACCTCATCGTGAACGTTTGAATCTTTTAAATACATGCGTACCCCAGCT